GGACCCTGATAGGACCCACCCCACCTCCACTCAGGAAGGAGGGAGAGAGGTAGCTGAAGCAGAACAGAGCCCAGGTATGCTACAGGCATCGCAGGTGCCTCTTCCTGGCCCTCTCACAGTTTTGGGAGCTTTTAGCTGGTTCCTTGGGAGAACCTGGCTGTCTCTGGGGAAGCTTTGAGGGCTGCTGCCACGGTATGCGCACACTGCCACCTAGGGGACAATTGGCTGAACTCTGAGTTGATCAAGCCACTGGGATGGGGTGCCATGAGGAGAGCTTTTCAGTCCTTGTCTGAGTCTTGGATTTCTTAAAAATAACCAATTTAAAATCAATACCCCAAAAAGGCATATTTTGAGGGTGGCAAAACTTTAGTCCCTTTCAGCCCTAAGACTCCTCTTACACAGACACACACATACACATGCACACACACCATCTCTACAAGCTCTCTGAGGTCTCAACCACTCCTGAGTCTTTAGATATCTTCTGTGTGCTGGCCACATTTCATGTTTCTCAGCAGACTGGATCTCTCTCCTGAGCTCCAGCCCCAGTCTGGATTGAAAATCTGATCCCATCATCCCCCTGCCCCAAACCATTAGAAGTTCATTTTACTGAATATTCTACAGGGGCTGACCAGGCCTGGTCACTGTAACCACATCTCCAACCACAAACCACCCCCCCACCCACCTCACATTTGGTGGCTCATCCTGTCACCTTTAGCATAGTGTTGGCTACACAGATCACCCTTCAAGACCTGGTGTTGGAATTTGATAGCTCAGGAGGGAATTGCCTGGCCCAAGGCATACCAAACTCCCTTTCCTCACTTCTGGACAACTGATGAGATCCCACCTCCCGGTGGGATCAGTGGACGCCTCCCTGGAAATGGCCTTATAGTTCAATTTCTCCTCTCACCCCATCCTGCGTCCCTCACTTCCTGCATGAACATCTCTGGATCCACTTCTGTTTCCTGTGACCTTGGCCTCCGCACATGCATCGCTTTATCTTACATCCTTCAAAAAAATAAAAATAATTTTAAATATATTTTTATTGATTTTTTTTTTTTTTTTTTTTTTTTAGAGAGAGAGAGGAAGGGAGAGATAGAGACATCTATATGAGAGAGAAACATCCATCAGTTGCCTCCTGTACACCCCTACTGGGGATCAAGCCTGTCACCTCGGGTATGTGTCCTGACCTACAATCAAATGGGGACCTCTCAGTCCATGGGACGATGCTCAATCCACTGAGCCACACCAGCCAGGCCATCTTACATCTTTTGCCTGTTCCCAGCCTAGCCCTTCAGCCAAGCTCTTGAGGTGAACAGGTCTGGAGGTGTCCCCATATCACCAGCTCCCCATGTTGTCAGTGGACGTGGAATTCTTGCAACATCGCAAAGAAAAGAATTTCCTGAGACTTACATGGGAGGATGAGTGCTATTTATTCAGCCGGAAATAAACCCCTAGGTTTCCAATGTCCCATTTCCTACATCTCACCATAGAGAAAGTTCAACCGTGTCTTCAGCAGGGCCAGAATAAGGCCACTGCCCATAGTTTCTGCTCCATATTAAAGTCCAGTCCAGTTCAGCATCCTACGTGTGAAGTCCGAATGGCCATGGGCCATGCAGCTGCTACCACCATAAGCCATGGAGAGAGAATGTACAAATGCACGGGGAGCATGGGTCTTGGAGCAGGAGAGAGCAAAGAGTCAGCACTCTCCGGGGATTTCAACCAGGAGTGTCTTCAAATAACTAGCTAACTTTCCAAGATTTTGTGTGTTTCTGATGGGGTCCACCCCTAGTCAACCCATTGTTCCCCAGATTAGACTGACCGGCAGGCACCTCCCCTATGCCACCCTGACTTCTGCGCGTGTGCCTATCTATCTCCCCCCAACAATTGGAGGAACAATGCTGTGATTCCCTGGGGTGTGAAGCTGTAGCTTCCTGGTGAAACAAACAGGCTTGTGCTTCTCAGCTGAATATGCTCAACAATGTCTGATTCTCCCTTCGCTCTCTTTTTTTTATTAATATTAATAACTAACTAGTTCCAACACTGGTGTCTCACTTTATTTCTATTGCTCCAGCTGCTTCTGGCCAACTAGTCCCCAGCTTCCCTTCAGGGCTCCTGCCTGACCTTTCCTGTGAGTCATTGGCTTTTGCCCCCTGCCTCTCTCTCAGAGGCACATTCAGATGCCCCAAGAGTGAGTTGCTGATTACTCTGGTCAGCTGTCACCATCTACAGCCCTTCTTGGCCAGGTGCCTGGCCAGCCCATGACCACCTGACCTAGAGTCCAGGACCCTTCCTGGTTCAGTGGCTGTTCCTAGGATGGAGGACTTGTGGTACAGAGCTCTGGGGACATGCCTCTGATGAGGCCTAGAATGGCCTGTGCTATGAGATCCCCAGGAGAGGGCAGTGACGGGTGGTATATGGGTACATAATATGTCTGTCCCTCCTGCTGCCAGGGCTGCTGACTACAAATTATAAAGAAACAAGCTGAGATCCACATATTTGCATTTGTAAACGGTTTTACTATAAGTGTGTAGATCTGGTTTTGTGATGATTATATTCCTATTTGTCCATTTTAAAGATGTTTGAAACATTTATGAGACTGAATCATTAGAATGAGAAAGAGGGTAATTGATTACATTTAATGTTTAAATGTTCAGGGAAATCTACTTTATTATAGTTATAAAATTTCAGTGTATTAATTGTAGAAATAGTATGTGAATATTTAGAGAAATGTTAACTCTTTCAATTTCCCCATATTGCACATTAGATGAGGTGTGGAATTGGATGTTTCTCTGTGGACAGAGGACTAAAGGACTGCTGTGGGAGCCCCCTGGGTGCTGGGAGTCCACGGAAGGAGCAGAACGTGCTGTCTGTGTACCAGGGGATGGGAGGGAGTCTTTCCTATGCTCTGCCCCATAGCCCTGCGCCCTAGGATGAGGGGTTCACCTCTGGTGGCCTCTTAACCCTCCACCCACGTGGGACTGAAGTTAGCCTCCGGTTCTCTTGAGTTACGGAGGCTGGGGAGGAGACGAGAGCCAGGTAAGGGCAGCAAAAGCCTCTGCCTGGCAGAAGCTGCAAAGGCTTTCTGCTTCAACGAGCAAGCAGCGCCGCCCACCTCAGGAGCTGGCTGCACCTCAAGGCCCAGCTCCCCAGCCCCTCCTGTCTAGGGGGGACTTTGTAAGGGCAGGGGTGTGGCAAGAGCCTGGCAGCAAAATTGGCCTTTTCTCCCCCTAAGCAAGCCTAGCACAGTCAGGACCCACACAGGAAAGGCCCAGAGCCAACTGGGTCCTCTGGCTCAGGAAGCGTAGCTCTACCAGGTACTTATCTGGGTTTGCATCCCTCCCCAGGCCTCTGCCTGTGCAGGCCCATGGAGCTTCCCCAGCTCCTCAAACCACATGATTTTCTACAGTCTGATGTGGCCTGTTTCACACCACATCCATAACCCTCTCTGAGGGCACGAGAGTGAAGGCACCAAAAGGTTCTGGTCAGTGAGCTAGCTGTGGCTATTTACCAAGCACATAGGTGGTGTTATTTTTATCATGTTACTTAAAATGTTTAATTAGTTGCCCAGCCAGTGTGGCTCAGTGGTTGAGCATCAACCCATGCACCAAGAGGTCGCCAATTCAATTCCCATCAAGGCACATGCCCAGGTTGTGGGCCCGATCCCCAGTAGGGGGCATGCAGGAGGCGGCCAATTGATATTCTCTCTCATCAATGTTTCTATCTCTCTTCCCTCTCCCTTCCTCTCTCTTTGAAAATCAATAAAGAAAAAAATTTTTTTTAATGTTTTATTAGTTAATACACTCACATGTAACATATTATACAATTCAAAAGGGCATAAAAGGGGACATTTTTCTTTTACCTATGTCCCCAGACACCAGTACCCTGTTCCTAGAGGCAAATACTATTACTAGTTTTTCATGTATTTTCCCATCAATATTTTACAGCCATCACTGCTGGTTGCACCCTCCAATTCATTCTGTTTTCTTTTTTTAGTCACAGAATCACCAAAGGTTATTTGGATACAAAACCATCCATGAGAAAGGCTACATATCCCAGTCACCCTTGCACTCAAGTTCAGCCCTGAATTCTGCCCAATGGGATGTAAGCAAAATTGATGTGTGCTTCTTTCAGGGTATACCTTAAGAGAAAAATACGCTTAGCATTTCACAAAATTTAATATCTTTTTTTTTTTTTTTTTTATCCTCACTCAAGGACATTTTTTTGTTGAGATAGAGTGGGAGGGGGGGAGAGAGAGAGAGAGAAAATCATCAACGTGCCACCCGCACGACCAACCAGGGCTGGGGACAAACTGCAACCAAGGTACGCACCCTGAGCGGGAACCGAACCCGGGTCTCTCTGGACCGCAGGCTGATGCTCTAACCGCTGAGCCAAACCGGCCAGGGCAAAATTCAATATCTTTTAATGATAAAAACTCTCAACAGATTAGGTGTAGAAGTGTTAGCATAGATAGCTAGATATTAATAAAGAAAGAGAGCAAAGAGAATCAGACATAATTAAGCATAATGAACCAGGGAGCTGAATCAGACAATAAGCCTGCTTGCTTCACTAGGAAGTTATACCTTCACACATTCCCCAGGGTATCTTCCATCCTTAGGACCTAATCCGCTGAAGCAAACAGGAAGGATCATTACCAGGGGAAGAATAAAAACTGCAGGAGAAACTCCTCTGCTGGGTGCATGCCCAGTAGAAGCCAAGGTGGCACAGGGAGATACTTCCACTATGAGGCATGTGCAGTGGGAACCAAGATAGTGACCATGCAGGTCTGTCAGTCTAGCCTGGGAAAAGGATCGGATTGAATAAGGGACACAGAACCCTGGAAGATCTGGGAAATGGATTTGTTAGGAGAGGATCCAAAACCATCCCAGGAAAGATAGGGAAGTTGATTGGTTAGTTTGAAGAGATGCCTAGTCCTTACCAAGCCTGAGATAACCAAGGAGCTCTCTCTCGCTCGCTCAGTAACGCTTGTTTTCTCTCCGTAGCAGCCATGTGGCCCTCGCAGCCGGTCGCAGAACATGTAGGCCTGAGCACAGTGCCAGCTGGAGTGCAGCTGGGAACACAGACTAAGCTGCCCGGATGAGGACAGAGACATGGACTAAACCAGTGGTGCCACGTGTCTAGATACAGGCTGTATTTCTGGGCCTGATGAAGACAAGATTGGACTATTTTCACAGCAGGACAGTTGGAGATGGGATATAGAGCTGAACCCAGACAGCGCTTATGTTTGCTCCAGCTTCTTCAACTGACTTTACCACTAAGTTTTATCCTCCCACATGTGGGTCCCTGGAATGCTTTTTCACAACCCTGTGAAAGGGCTTCATTTCCACCAGCAACATCAGTACTGTTTCTCAACTTAAGAAATGCCATAATGAGAAGCCCACAGCTGGTACCACACTCTATGGTATAAAGTTAAAAGTGTTTCCTCTGAGATTAGGAACAGACAAGTATGCCCATTCTCTCCATTTCTGCACAACATAGTACTGGAAGCCCTACTTGGAGCAATTAAACAAGAAAAAGAAGTAAAAGGAGTCCAAATCAGAAAGGAAGAAATAAAATTATTTCTGTTTGCAGATGACATGATATAGAAAACCCTAGAAACTCCACTAAAAACTGTTAGAACTAATAAATTCAGTAAAGTTGTAGGATACACAATCAAGATACAGAAATAGTGCATTTTTATACACTAGCAACAAACTATCTGAGAGAAAAAATAAAGAACGCAGCCCCATGAACCAATGAAGCTAACACACATCTCCATCCAACAACAGCAGAATACATGTTCTTCTCAAGTGCACATGAAATGTTCTTCAGTATAGATCATAATTAACCAATCAAATAAATCTTAAACATTTTAAAGTACTGAAGTCACACAATGTATTTTCTCTGACTACAATGGAGTAAAATTAAAAATTATTAACAGAAGGAGATTTGAGGAATTCACAATTATGTGGATGTTAAACAGCATACTCCTAAATAACCAAAAGTTCAAAGAAAAAAAATCACGGGAAATTATAAAATATTTTGAGATGAATGGAAATGAAAACATAGCATACCAAACTTATGCAACCAACAGTGCTTAGCTGGAAAGTTATAGCTGTAAACACCTATATTTAAAAAGACCTCAAATCAGTAGCCTAACCTTGCACCTTAAGATACTCAAGAAAGAAGAGCAAACTAAACCCAACACAGACAGAAGGAAGGAAATAAAGATTAATGCCAAAATAAATGAAATAGAAAGTAGAAAAATATATATAGGGGAAATCAACAAAGTCAAAAGTTAATTCTTTGAAAAGATCAACAAAATTGACAAATCTTTAGACTGATTAAAAAAGATACTCAACTTACTAAAATCATAAATAAAAGAGGGACCATTATTATCAAGGTTTCAGGGGGGCAAAAGGATTATAACAAAAAAGAAAGAAAGCAGTCCCATTTACAATATCATCAAAAAAAATAAAATATTCAGAAATAAATTGACCAAGGAAGTGAAATCTATAACACACTGATGGAGGGAATGAAGAAGATATAAATAAGTGAAAGATATCCCATGTTTTTGGATTCCAAGAATTAATATTGTGAAAATGTCCATACTATGCAAAGCAGTCTACAGATTCAATGCAATCCTTTTCAAAATTCCAATGGCATTTTTCACAGATATTGAAAAAACTATTGTAAAATTTGTATGGAACCACAAAAGACCTTGAATAGCCAAAACTGTTCTAAGAAAGAACAAACTTGAGGCCTCACATTTCCTGATTTCAAGCTATATTACAAAACTATAGGAATATAATTAGTATGCTGCTGGCATAAAAACAAGCACATAGAGTGGAATAGAATAGAGAGCAGATGACATGATTGTCTATATAGGTTTTTCATAGGTATTCTTTATCAAGTTGAGGAAGTTCCCCTCTATTACTGTTTACTGAGGGTTTTTACTATCAGTGAGTTTTGGGTTTTGTTAAATGCTTTTTCTGCATCTATTGATATGATCATGTGACCTTTCTTTAGCCTGTTGATGTGATAGATTATACCATTTTTTAAATTAATTTATTTAATTTATCTTTGCTGAAAGTATTACAGATGTCCCTCTTCTTTCCCCCCTTGACTCCCTCCACCCCATGACTATTCTGTAACAAACACCTTGTACTTCTTAACTCCTTCACCTTTTTTTGCCCATTCCCCCAATTCCCTTCCCATCTGGCAACCAACAAAAAGTTATCTGTATTTAAGAGTCTGTTTTTTTATTCTTGTTCATTTTGTTTGTAGATTTAATTGTTGATAGATATGTGTTTATGAAACCAAGAAGCAAACCATCGATTTAGAATATATGGAAGCAAAAAACACCCAATCAGAACAGCAAAAAGAATTTGAAAAAATGAGGTTAGTGTACCAAGATTTGCATCAAGGGAGTGCCGGAAGGAGAAGAGAAAGCAAGAAATCGAAAACCGATTGAAACAATAATGACAAAACTTTCCTAGCTCGGTGAAGGAAACAGACATACAAGTCCAGTAAGCACAGAGTCCCAAACAAGATAAACCCAAAGAGGCCCATACCAAGACACAACATAATTAAAATGCAAAAAGTTAAAGACAAACAGAGAATCTTAAAAGCAGCAAGAGAAAAGCAGTTAGTTACCTACAAGGGAGCTCCCATAAGACTGTCAGCTGATTTCTCAAAAAAAAAAAAAAAAAAACCACACACAAAAATCTTTGTAGGCCAGAAGGGAGTGACAAGAAATATTCAAAGTGATGAAAAGCAAGGACCTACAACCAAGATTACTCTATCCTGCAAAGCTATCATTTAGAATCGATGGACAAAAAATGAGCTTCCAGACAAGAAAAAGCTAAAGGAATTCATTACTTACCATACCAGTATTCTATGAAATGTTAAAGGGTCTACTTGAAGAAGATCAAAATCATCATTGATTTTTTAATTTTAAACCAGCCTTACATACACAGGATAAATTCCACTTAGTTGTGGTGTATAATTCTTCTTATACATTGTTGGATTTGACTTGCTAATATTTTGTTGAGGATTTTTGCATTGTTGTACCTATGTTCTTCAGAGATTTTGGTCTGTAGTTTTCTTCTCTAGTAATGTCTTTCTCTGGTGTTGGGGTAATGCTGGCCTTGCAGAATGAGTTATGTCTTTTGATTGGCACATTTAACCATTTGCATTTAAAGCAATTGTTTCCCTGGCCGGTATGGCTCAGTTGGTTGGAGTGTTGTTCCATACACTGAAATGTGATGGATTCAATTCCTGGTCAGGGCACATACCTAGGTTGCGGGTTCAATTCCTGGTCAGGGTGCATGTGGGAGGCAACTGATCGATGTTTCTCTCTCACATTGATCTTTCTTTCTCTGAAAATTAATCTTGAAAATAAAATAAAATAATTGTTGATAGTTATGCATTTATTGTCTTATTATTATTCATAATTTTTATCTCTTTTTCCTTTTAAGTAGGCCTTTTTAACATTTCTTGTAATACTGGTTTGGTGGTGGTGAAATTTTAGCTTTTTCATAGTAGGAAACTCTTTATCTGTTCTTCAGTTCTAAATAATAGCTTTGCTGGGTAGAATAATCTTGATTGTAAGTCTTTGCTTTTCATCATTTTGAAAATTTTGTGCCCGTGCCTTCTGACCTGCAAAGTTTGTTTAAAAATTAATTGATAGTCTTATGGGAGCTCCCTTGGAGGTAATTAATTGCTTTTCTCTTGCTGCTTTTAAGATTCTCCCTTTGTCTTTAACCTTTGGTGTTTTAATTATGATGTGTCTTAGTGTGGGCCTCTTTAGGTTCATCTTATTGGGGCTCTGCATTTTCTGGACTTGCATGTCTATTTTCTTCATTGGGTTAGTGAAATTTTCTGTCATTATTTTTTAAAATAGATTTTCAATTTTTTGCTGTCTCTCTTCTTCCAGCACCCCCATGATGTGAATGTTTGGTATGCTTGAATTTATCCCAGAGGCTCCTTAAACTATCCTCATTTTCTTTGGATTCTGTTTTTCTTTTGCTGTTCTGATTGGATGTTTTCTACTTCCTTATCTTCCAAATCACTGATTTGATCCTCGGCTTCATCTATACTACTATTGATTCTTTTTTTTTTTTTTTTTTTTTTTTTTGTACAGATAGAGTGGGAGGGAGAGAGAGGAAGGGAGAGAGAGAGAGAAACATCGACGTGAAGGGACACATCGAGTGGCTGCCACCCGCACGACCAACCAGGGCCGGGGACAAACTGCAACCGAGGTACGTGCCCTTAGCGGGAACCGAACCCGGGTCTCTCTGTACCGCAGGCTGACGCTCTAACCGCTGAGCCAAACCGGCCAGGGCTTGATTCTTTATTTCAGTTAGTGTATCCTTCATTTCTGACTGGTTCTTTTTTATGTTTTTCACCTTCATTTTTATATTTCCCTTTTCTTTGTTGAATTTCTCACTAAGTTCATGTACTTGTTCCCTAAGTTCTTTGAGTATACTTATAACCAGTGTTTTGAATTCCGCATGTGATAGATTTTTTACTTCTTTTTCTGAAGTTTTTGTTCTATTCTTTCATTTGGGACATGCTTTTTTTGTTGTTGGTGGTGGTTTTTGTCTCCTCATTTTGGCAGTCTCTCTGTGTTTATTTCTATGTATTAGGTAGAGCTTCTACATCTCCTAATCTTAAAAGAGTAGCCTTGTGTAGTAGATGCCCTTTAGGACTCAGTGGTACAGCCTCCCTGGTCACCTGAGCAGGAAACTTCAGGTGCACCCGCACGTGGGCTGTGTTCACCCTCCTATTGTCGTTGACCCTTGATTGCTATTGGTATGTCAGTGGGAGGGGTTTACCCCTTCCCTAGGCCATTCAGCTACAATGACTGACCATGATCACCATGGAGGAGCTGCTGTGCAGAGGCAGAGCCTGCAGAGCAGGACTTGCTTCAACAGGGTACTGGTGCCTGCTGAATCTTCCCCTTGAGTGTGTTACTTGTGGAGGCAATTAGGTTGTACTTCAGCATGGTCTGAAGCTGTTCACTGAGTGTTCTGGCTCTTGGGCCTTCCAGGAGGTGCAGGCCAAGGCCTTCCTGAGGCCACCCAGCATGAGATACAGAATGATCTTCAGATGGCAGTTTCTTGTGCTGGGCTTGGAGGTGCCCAGGAGAGGCCAAAGCTGGCCTACCTGAGTGACGAGCCTAGGGCCACTTAGCAAGAGGTACAGGGCACTCTTATGCCAGATAGTGCTTGTTTGAGAGATTTTTAGGAAAGTCTGCAGCATGATCCAAGACAGGCCATTTGTATGGAAAAGCCAGTGGAAATGGTTTGGGTGTGCCCAAAATTTGGGTGGAGCAGATTCTCAGGGAACCACCAGGGCAGCACTAACAATGTTAGCAACGATGATGGAGACTCAGATATGGTACCTGCATGCTGGCTCTGTTAGGAGAGGGCTCAGCAAGGAAGCATGGCCTTTCCCACCACTTGTCTGGGAGAAAGCTGCCCTTCCAGCTCTTGCCCTGATGTGAGATAATTCAGTTTCTCCTTGTATGTCCCTGG